TTACAAGTGCTGCTACATGAAAAAGTCACTACAGATTAAGCTAGTTTCCGATTCAGTTATTTTGAAATAACTGTGTGCGTGTTACTACCCAAAGCAAATAAGTAAGAAAACTTACTCCTCTTATTTGCTGTAGATTAAATGTTTGCAAACTGAAAATTTGGGAAATTTCAGTGGAGCAGCTAACACACCATGAATCACTAGTCTAGCTTACTGCACAGTAACTAGTGTCTGTAGCTTTACACTGAGTCTGGCACCCTCAGCACCACTCAGGAATCAATGAAGATCATAAACCTCTCATTGTCAAATAACTCATTTTGTATTTTAACACTCAATGGTTTTCCAAGTACTGAAGTTAGTATGAAATGGTATGTTTCGATATAAGCAACGAATCAACCCTGTCTTGTCTTGTCCTTTCCTCTCTTTTCCTTTTCCTCTCTTCTCTGTACAGCTGAGATGCATAAGAAAAATATATAGTTTTAAAAACCATTGTCTTAAGAAGCTAAAAATATTTAGATTGGGTAGGGTGTAGTTTAGCTGTTCTCTTTCATCAGTGTTAATCTTTCAGAAGCAATGATGTTTCTCACAGAAACAATTTCTCTCTTAGAGATTATATGACATTTGGGGAACAAGGATAATATTTTTTTACAATTGTATCATGCCTTCCATCCAAATGATTCCTTAGCTTTTCACCCAATATATACTGCATGGTGGTACAAACAGCTACAAGACCAGATGCCTAAGGAAAAGGACAGAAATAAACTTTAGCCTCCTTTTATAGGAGGCTACCTTCTATAGTATATACCTCCTTTCAAAAGACTACAGTGTGTTGTATAAGCATCTGTGGCTCTCGTTGACTAGGATAGGAACTGCCATCCTTGGGAAAAGAGTGGAGTTTTAGATACATGCAAAATAGCTGCTCTCTGGTTCGGACAGAAAGCATGTAGCTGCTTAAAGTCACAAAAGACTTGTTAAATACACTGAGAAAAAGACTCGGTCTGCTGGGTTTTGTAGCTCCTTTCTCTGGAAGTGTGTGCTGGTTATCAGCTGCCCTTGCAGAGGAGTACCAGTCTGTGCCTGCTGAGGGGAATTCCTCCAAGATCTTGGCATCAGCAGGGCAAACCTCCACCCTCTTTGGCAGGATACACTATTCCCCCTCCACATCTTGGGCTGCAAATTCCCTTCGGGGATCAACTGTACCTGCAGCTATGTTGGGATTTCTTATCTTCAAAGCACTGCAACATCCTAAGTGAAAAGTTTATTTCCAGATGCAAACCTTTTCACTTAGTCACATCTTCCCACACATTTGCCAGAGGTTTACTGTTCCCTTTTATGGCAACTCAAGCATTCAGGACTTAAGATAGAAGTAATTATCTTTCACCTTTAGAGCATTCATTGTAAGTCTGTTTCCAAATCTTTCTTACCTTTCTTCCTTGGAAGTGTGTTGCATTACATTTTTTACCCACTCTTTCCTTTCCAGTTAGCATTAAAAAAAACAATTAAAATATTTCTTGATATTTCAATGTAAACCACATAAAATGTAAAACAACTGAGTTTAGTTTATTATTTTTGATATATCGCATCATTTTGATAAAGGCTATATATGGTGATTTAATAATACAGTTGGCAGATCTAGTAACTAGCTTCTTGGGCTAAGGAGCCTGTCATCATTTTCAAGGACTTCCATTTGTTTCTCATTAGCATGTATCATTGCTGTACAAATATTTATTGGACAAACTGCAAGTCCCATGTAAGGAGAAATTTGTTATTTCATCATAAATATGTGAAAACAGGACAGAAGAACTATGTGAACAGATACATTAAGTCTTTTCTGTTACCCTCCAAACTAGTTTTCGGGGGGGGGAGGGGGGGGAATTGTTTTAAAGGTTGTATACAGGGAAACTACACAGACAAAATTTTTATACAGACTTTGTAACAGCCTTCCAGTACCTAAAGCAGCCTATAAGGAAACTAAAGAGAGCAAAAATGATTATTTCAATAAGGGTCACACTTCAGGAAGATAAAAGAACTTAGGCTGAAATAGTTTAAAGTGAGGTAATGTGACCACAGAAAGCAGAGGGAAGTTGTTATTTGGGCATATGTATGCTCATGTATGCACTTCTGTGCATAAAAGAACGTGGACAGAGCAATAAGAAGGTTAAAGCAGGTGTATGAAAAGAGAATAAAGGTCAAAATTTGGGATTGTACATTTATTTGTTCATGTGCTTCTTGGAGAAGAAGTTGTTTGGTTTTTGTTTGGTTGGTTTGAATAAGACCCCTCCATGAAATGTAACATTTTATATTTTTAACGTTAAATTTTATAAACAACAAACCAACATGAGCACTGCAAGCTCACCGTGCAATTTGACGTACATTAAATCTTTGATGTGGACTAGGTGACCATTGTGATTTAGAGACTAGATTTTAATGAACACTTTTATTTGCAAATCCTCAGAATATTCATTCTACATGCAAAATTACTGTGAATTTGATAGGAGAGAGCCTGTATGTCTCATGTATGATAAAGAGATTGAATGCCAACTTTAGCTTTAACTAGCACTTCTGCAGTGCATGCTCTGAATTCTGTTTGATGTGTTTATCAATGTCCTTCAAATATCACAAGCTAAGAAAAACACTATTGGCTGCCAGGTTTTGAAATTGTCTAATGCCGGGTGACTGATGAAAGCAAGCTTGTCTCTATGCTGCTACCATTTATGCTATTTAAAACTTAACCTGTTTTTCACTCCCTCTTTTCAATGCTATTATCCACCTACCCTGTTTGACTGGGAAAAGATCAATGTGAAGAATTCCTTTCATGGCAGATGGGTGGGTTTTAGGTTTGTTTTTTTTCAAATACTGCTATGAGTATTGAGGAGATCTGGCAGTGAATTTTATCTGTGCTTGTGAGGATGATGGATTTGGCTTTTTTCATATATTCAGTATATGGTAATTCTTGCTGCTGTTTGTCAAAGTTTATTGTTCTGTAAACAGAAAATTTAAATAGTAACAAAGCATTTTAAAAGAAAACAAAGACTTTTAAAGAACTGAGTTGTAATCAAATGAAATATTAAGCAGAATTTAAGACCACCACAACTGCAACTGAGCTTTCGGTCTATGTCTCACCAAAAAGATAAAGCCCCCAACAACATCATGTGTGCCTGCAAATATCACTAAATTTCAGTCTGATGCATACTTTTAAAGCATGAGTTAATGAAACTAATTCCACCTTCTGAATCTCCACTGTAAAGCTGGTGAAAGCTGGGAAGCTTTGGTATGAGGTGGCAATTTTTTTTTTTTTAACATAGGATAAAAAGGTTGTAATTAAGCATTTAAATATATAAGTAGAAAAGAGGGTGATATTACATAGGACCTTTCCATTTAATAGGAAATTAGAGGGTATGGCACTTTTCAAGATGTGAGAGTTTGAAATGTGTATTTGTTGAAAATATTGCTCCCTTCTCAAACTAGGCTCTCAGACTAGTTTTCAGCTAGTTAAGTGGGTAAAATGTGACAAAAAGGCATCATGGTTAACACATTTGAAATGTTATCACAGTGCCCATGAAACAGCACAGAGAGAATCACAGAATCACATGGGCAAAATCCTGGAAGTCTTTAGGTTGTGGTAGTTAAGGGTGAACCTTAGCAGACTGAGTGAGTTGTTCAGGTAAGGTTTTAGCAGCTGATAGTTCTTGTTAAGGTATTAAATGCTCTCACTTTTCAAGTAACCAAAGAGAAAACATTCTTACAGAAAATGAGTAAGAGGTGAAGGACAAGAGGACAAATTCTGTAACAGCTGTTTAATAATGCTGAAATTATATTCTGGAATATTTTTGGGATCTCAAGTAACCGAATTCCCTAAGATTCAAGGTTCACATCTGGTATTGCACTGGTATTTTTAGAGAAGAAAGAATTTAGTCCAGCATGTATTTACAATTCCAATGTCTTGTGGCATTCATCACAATCAAAGAGGTTGTATATACTTGCTTTTACTGCAGATTTTTGTTTCCTGAAGTCACCATCAATAATATGCCAGTCATACACCCCAAATATAACAGTTGGCCTCCAAAGACACATTGCTGTATGAAATTAATTATAACCTCCACAACAGCCCTCCACCGGAGGAAGTTCGTTTTAATCTTACCTTCTGTGGACTTTTCATGTACTCAAACAGATGAACTTCTGAAGGAAAAGGCGTGAGATGAGGTTAGTAAGAGAGGGATTGAAAATTGTCCATGAATGGGTCTGTATGTTAGAAGGTTAACTACAATACGGAAAATGTTAAAAAGCTGTCTAAAGTCCAAAGGAATGTTTCTTTTGCTCTGTGCAACTGATGAAAACCACACTAAAGCCACAAACTTGATATGCAGCAACAGTAGAATGCATCTCTAAAGATATGAAAGGCATTGGGTTGAAACTGGACAAAGCCTTTCACAAGTCTCACCTTTCAATTTGTTCTCAAGGGGATTGCTGTTTCAGAAACTGAAAGATACTTTTCCATATTAAAAGGCCTTCTTTAACTAGTGCCTTAGTTTATTGTTGACTCATTCAAGTGGCACCCAATAGAGCAAATGAATTTTATTTGGAAACCCACTTAGGGCTTAACAGTTTTGGCAATATAACTTTCCTCTGTCTTTGGGAGCATTTTCTACAGCTTTTTGCCATGTAAATGTGCCCACTGAGTGATTCAGTTAGAAATTTCCATGAGAATGCACCCTGACAGCAACAGCCATAGCTATGCCCCAGCATACACTTTCACACAAGATGGGCTGAAAAGCTTTCTGGGAATCAGGAAACATGCAAACTGATTACTTAAATCTTTTCCTTTTTGCATTATTTATTCAAGGTGAGCATATGTTTCTAAGTATATCTTGCTGTTTTACCCACTGGTGGTTTGAAGCCATTTTCCCACTGATATTATCTTGACTGATACACACATAGAGCTTTTCCCACTTATAACTTTAATGACATTTTCTCTGATGCTCATGTTTGCTCTGAAGCAGTAGGAAGTCTGTGGTTTTATTTTCTCCAAGACAGCAGCTTTTCTATCATTTCTGTGTAGCTCTGAAAACATTCTTTTACACTGCCTGGTATTTTAATAAAGGCCTATTTCTTCTAGTTGATTAATTTTCCCATGCTTTCAAGATGCTATTTAGATCCTATGTAGTTTGACAGTATGTATATTTCTAAAGGTAGTTGCAGTTCCCCATACTTCTTGACATCTGGTATCCTAGTTTTATCTTCTTACCTATATGAGCAACGTTTTCATAGATGAGAATTTTGGAGACATGCTTCTTTGGGAACAGGCAGCTGTGGATATAATTTTGTGAGGAGGGATGGGCAGCTGGAAGAACTGACAGACTTAACCAGCAGACCACTGCTGAATACAGAGTACAAAACTGAGCATTTTAATTGGTGTAAGAATGGGCTGTCTGAAAAGGGATAAACAAATTTGTTTTGAAACCAACAGATTAAGGAAAGGAAAAGTGGTTTTATTATGGACCCTTTGTTTAGTGAATTTGGGGGTTGGGCTGTCAGTTTTTATGAGGGAGAATGACAGCTTTATTTAGAATTTCATAACTAAGAGAAAATAAATGGCATTGAGTGGGCAGCAATCTATTTGCTATAATATACAAGCTTGCAGATGGAGAAAATTCTTTTGGTTTTCATAGGGATGCCAACAGAAGAGAATCAGCATAAACTTGAGAGCCTGGTATTTCAGGTAGATTTCAGGTGAATCTAAATAAGGCAGTCAAATACATTTGTTTTGCTGACTGGAGATTAGTTCATTTTACTATTTGTCCTTCTGGAAAGCTGTGTTTTGTCTGCCATTTCTGATGTTTTTTCTGCTGTTGCATTTCCTGCTGGCACTACTTAGCTGAATCTGTATCAAAGTATGGCCTGTAGTGTATGTGACTTGGCTGTTTATGCAATTCTATGCATGTATATACTCTTAGAAGTCCATCAGAAGCTGCTGCCTAACTTACTGGAGGCTGAGGGGTTAATGGTAACCACATCAAATGCCAAAGCAGCTCTGTAATGTGAGAAGGAAGGGACCTGCTGTGGTATATTCAGGCATAACACAAAGGTTTCTGGCTATTCTCGAAAAATTCACAAACATTTAGATATGTTTGGTTTAAATGTTTCTCTTCTCAACCATTTCTGCATATCATTCATGTTGATATTAAAGGTTTTTGTGCCATAAATCAATATTCTCTTTGTTACTGTTGCTGAAATCACTGCAGCAATGCTCAACATACCAATGCTTTCCTGGCAGAAACTTGAAGTATTTTAATTTAACCATGTAGGACACACAGTTTAAATCCTATGTACATGCATTTCAAATTTTAACTCCAAGGCCTGAGTATACTCAGTCTGAATGCTTCTTCAGGCCTTTTACAGAAGTGACATTACTGTTTGGATCCAAGTGAAGAAGTCAAACCCCATCTGCACCTCAGATGTGTTTGGATCCCTTCATTTTTTCCTTGGTTAATGTCCACCCCTCACCACACTGACCCCCAATTCCAATTTGCTGTCTAACTTGCCTTCAATAAATTGTTTCAGTAGGCATAATTAGTAGATAAGTGACATATTTATACTGATAAAAGTACCTGTTGAAATGTATTGTCATGGTGACAGTAAGGCCGGAGAACTTTGTTAGACAAGATCAGCTATCCCATGGCATTGTAGATTTGATTTGCTTGTTTTATTTATTTTCTTTTTTTTATGAGGGGAAAACTCCCTGTGCTTCCATGCATTAACCATAGAATACAGATTGCAGAACGCTTTGTTCTAAGTCACATCGTTTATTGCTGAGCTCTTGGTCTTAGGAACTGGCAAATGCTGGAGAGGGGTTCCCTGGGACCCAGTCCAAGATGGACCACTGATATGTCAGTTAATCTGGTGCTTTGAATATTAGTTGTACAACAAAGGAGAAAGAGCTTCATTTATATATTTTCAATTTAAAAAAAAATAAGAAAATATGTAATACTTTCTTCTGGAGTAGTATTTTACAATAGTTGCTGCCAAACCACACAACTAATAAATAAGCAAAGGAAACAAAACATCCTGCTAATGAAAAGCTATTCTACAAAATGTCATCACAATGATAGTTCAGCAATGATGAATTTTGTAGTAATATATCCAAAGACATAAATTGTGCTTTCAACACCTACACATTATTTGGAAATTCTCATTTCTGGTGTCAGTTTAGTATTCTGATTGTTGTCACTTCCATTTCCTCATTGCTAAGTAAAAACAAAGTTTTGAAAAGGGGTTTTACCGTCTTTTCAGTTATTAGGAAAAGTATTAGCTAACTTGTAAGTGAAACATTCTTTTCTAATGAGCATACTCACAATGAAACATACTTATTTTTTTTTTGACAGAAACAAGATTTCTGTGCATCAGCTCCAGTATGATGATGACAGTATTGCTATGAAAAGATACATTAACAAGAAACTAAAGAAACCTTAAATGGAAAAGAATTTCCCCAGTCAGTTTTTGAAGTTGGGTGCTTCCAAATTACATGGGTTTTCCAATCATTCTCTTTTTGTTTGACATTGTCCCTAGGTAGTTAATCAGTTCTCCTTCCTGCCCTCTACAAGCTCTTCCTGTGAGCATTTGGCTTCAAACCAAGCATCATCTCCAGTAGTAAATAATCCAATTCTGTGTAATTGCTAGGGGTGCCCCCCTCAGTTTTAACTTCTTTCTCTTCTGTCCAAAGTACCTTGAAGAAAAGAATTTATTCCTTCCTCTCACAGATGCCTGTGGCAGCACTTTCCTGCTCCTATGATCTTCAGTCCAGGAAAACAAGCCTGGTTTGATGTCCTTCTTGAGAGCACAAAACTTTTGTATAAACTGTATTTCTGACTTTCTTCTGCTCCAGGAAGAGGTATTTTGCACAATAACAATTTACTTTGGGCAGATATTATATTAGAAGAACAAATTAAAAATGTCTTTTTCCTAATTTGCAGGGTAGTATTTTTTTTAATATTGCAAGTGAAGTTTAAAAGTAACAATGTTGTATATTGTAAGAAATAATTTTGCTAATTAAAATTAAATTCATTAAATTCATTAATTCAAGTTACTCAATGCTTTATGAAAAAGTATATGTCCTGGATTAAGCTGTAACAGTTACTTTTCTCCTTCCAGTAGTGGCAAATTCATTAAGTAGACCTACTAGTTTAATAGGTCTTGAGAATGAGTGTAAGTCTTAGCTATATGTCTTAGTGTGTTGTTATCGTTATTTTCTATGAAAAATCATACAATCACAGAATAGTCAGGGTTGGAAAGGACTTTAAGATCATCTAGTTCCAACCCCCTCCCATGGGTAGGGACACCTCACACTAAACCATGTCACCCAAGGCTCTGTCCAGCCTGGCCTAAAACACCACCAGGGATGGAGCATTCACAAATTCCCTGGGCAACCTATTCCAGTGTTTCACCACCCTTACAGTAAAAAACTTCTTCCTTATATCCAATCTAAACTTCCCCTGTTCAAGTTTTAACCCATTACCCCTTGTCCTATCACTACAGTCCCTAATGAATATTTCCTTCTCATCATCCTTATAAGACCCCTTCAGATACTGGAAGGCTGCTATGAGGTCTCCACGCAGCCTTCTCCAGGCTGAACAGCCCCAACTTTCTCAGCCTGTCTTCATATGGGAGGTGCTCCAGTCCCCTGATCATCCTCGTGGCCCTTCTCTGGACTTGTTCCAACAGTTCCATGTCCTTTTTATGTTGAGGACACCAGAACTGCATACAATACTCCAAATGAGGTCTCATGAGAGCAGAGGGGCAGGACCTCCTTTGACTTGCTGGTCACGCTCCTTTTGATGCAGTCCACCTATCGAATTGATGTATCTCCAATTTAAAGACAAGGATGTCGTGTGGGGCAGCGTTGGACTCTTTGCAGAAGTTCAGGTAGATGACATCAACTGCTCTGCCCCTGTCCATCAGTTCTGTAGCCCCATCATAGACCACCAAATTGGTCAGGCAGGATTTTCCCTTAGTGAAGCCATGCTGGCTGTCACCAAGCACCTTGTTGTTTTCATGTGCCTTAGCATGCCTTCCAGGAGAATCTGTGTCAAAATAAAATACTACAAATAAAATGCTACAAATAAAATACTACTATTAAGTAAACCTCTGTTGAGAGTATTTTGTAAAACCTTGGCATGCTAAAAATTATTGTTTGCTCTTTATTTTACAGTTTGAGTACTGGTTCCTGAGTGTGGTGAATCTGCAATGGGAAATTCACTGTACAGGAGAGTGGAAGAGGAAGAAGGTATGGGTAGCTTGATACATGTATGAATGGAGTTGGCTGCAGCTAAGGATTGTATTCACAAGAGAGCTCACAAAGAGTCTTACAATGGGGAGGAAAACAAAGAAAACATTTGGAAGAGAATGAAGTATATTCAGATCCCTCAGACCATATCCATCTTTGAGGAAGTAGCAGGTGGACCTGCTTTTTGTACACCCTTTCCATCCTACATGTTGTTTCTATTTCAGTAGTATCTGAAGACCTTCAGATTAAATTGCAGTCTCATTCTGCTAGCTGCAGATGAGATGCTTGTAAATCTGGACCCTGCAAAGCAGTGTGTTTGCCTGATCTGCTTGGAGATACAAAACCTAATGATTTTAAGCAAGCTGCTAGCCTAATGAAAAAGGTCTCAAGCACTGTACATGGGATCTAGAAAAGGGAGAGGAATGACTGGGGAAGAAGAACAGAAAAAGTGGGGTAAAACAGCTTGCCTATACCATGCATGCTATGCCTTCATTGCTATTTAAAAATAACAGCACAAATGAATACAAAAGTAACAGCAACTCATATAGACATACCTGAACTATCTTCAGGCTGACAAGTTTGAACAGTGATAACTGCCTCAGTTTCCCTCATATTCATTTAGAATAAGAACAAGGCAACTCTTCTTGGATTTTCATAATAACAAGTCTAGTACAATCTGATGGCTATTATGATTCAAATAATAGTTGTCTAGGACAGCAATTATAAGAGATCA